GTTGAAAGCAAACAAAGAAGTGGAGATTGATAGCACTATTCAAACAGCTTGTAGGAAGCCTTATATACCTTACAGCTACAAAATTAGACATTGCACATTCTGTGATATTTTGTGATAATGTTTTTATAATTAAGTTATCTAAAAATCCAGTATTGTATGGAAGAAGTAAGTATATTGATGTCAGATTTCACTTCTTGAGGGATTTGTGCAATGGTGGTGTTATTGAATTGGATTATTGCAATATGAAAGATCAGTTAATAGATATCATGACAAAGCCACTTAAGATTAAGGATTTCCAATATTTGCAATGTGCTATAGGCATGCTTGATGATTCTGAATAAACTGCTGAAAGGAGTATGCAGTTTAAGGAAAGGATTGTTGACTGAGTCTAAGAATATATTTGAAGTCATCTATTTTTGTTTTTATTATCTGCATTTTTTATTTGTCATCCGTGACTAGGAAAAGTTGTTATGTGTAGTCAGTTGGTTTTTTTTTTATTTTTTTGTTTCTATTTTGCTATCCTCGTTTACATGTTTAGAAGTGTAATGTTAGGATATTAGGTAACTAGCTACTTTCTAGAGAATCTGTTGTAAAGTTGAGTCTATAAAACTTAGCCTTTTTCATTTATCAAAAATATAGACTGACAATACAAAATAATATTCAACTATTCTAATTGTTCTTCTTGAGTTAACAACTTCAACCATAATTATAGGAGTAATTCATGTAATATCCTAAAATTTCACTAATTTTAATTAGTTAGAAACTATATCAATCTAATTAAATTAGAATTGAACATTACATAAAAAATTAGAAATAGAAACACCTTTAATAGAATTTATCTAACAATGAGTAAATTTAAGGAAGAATTGAGCAATTCAAGTGTACTTACCCATTTTAAGTAGAAATTAATTATCCAAACCATCTAAAATGATTTTCTACTATCTTAATTAAGGAATACAAAGATTGTATTTAGTTGAGAGGAAAAAAAATAAGAAATTAAATATAACTTACAAAATTGGCTAAAATGACTAAAATATTCTAGGATAGGTCTAAGATGTTGACCTATTTTAAGTATGGCAATGATTAGAGAAAAATCTAAAATTTTTATGAAAAAGCTATGGCTCAAAGGGTGGGGTAGACGCTTAAAAAGCAAGCCCAAAATCCAAGTAAAAAATTCAATTAAAATTCTTCAAAAATAGCTCCAAATTGACGTGGAATGGGTAAGATTTTGGACAAAATTTTCAAACTTTTCAATCATATCCCATCCTTTCACTTTGCACGGTTCATAAAGCTTGAAAGGAAACCCAATTAACAATAATTTCAGTAAGAAACTAGCTGAATTCACGAGGAGAAGGAGAGCCTATAAAAATCTTAAAATAAACAAATCTAGGTTTCATAAACTGTGAGAGAACAAAATTCAAACAAGGTGCCCTGTGCTTTGAGACAAAGCTTATTTATGGAATTAAAATTCTTTATTATTAATCACCTATTGGTCTAAACTATGTTATCCTATGGGGAATGGAAGTAGGGATGATAATGGGTAAAGTACCCGATGGGCACCCGCAAAATTTACCCACAATGGGTAGGGTATTTACCCGCTATACGGGTATGGGTGTGGGTAAAAACCCGCAAATTTTAATGGGGATGGGTGCGGGTATGGGTATCTAAGTACCCACCCCGCCCCATACCCGCATATATATATATATATATATATATATATATATATATATATATATATGCTTGAACTTTATTCTACAATTATGTATTGAATTTTTGTATTATTATATTACTTATGTGAAGTTATATAAGATTAATATAAAAATATATTTAATAATAAAGTAAACCAAAAAATTTATTTTGGTTTATATTTTTAATAGAAAAATTTATTTACTATTTTATATCATTTAATTAGGCTAACACAATTTAATTATTACATAGTTAATATAAGATTAACTTTTTTAAAATATTATTTATATATGACACACATAAAATATTTTTTACACAAATATTTTTGTTAATAAAATCATATTGATGTTTAAATCATAAAGTGAATGATAAATAATAAATATATTATAAATATTTTATAAATTTTACAATCACCTACTATTACCGTAAACTTATTATTTATTAATAATATTTAAATTTTATTTTTATATTTTAATTTAAAATAATATTTTTCTATGTAACATATGTATTACAAGCACAATTATAATCTATTGAATCTAAATAATATTATTCTTACTATTTATTCACATTCAAAGAAGTTTTTGAAAAAATATAAATATAAAAAAATTATTATTAATTTTTATTTGTTAATTTTTTTAAGATAAAAAAGTATAATTTTTTTAATATACACATATATTTCTTTATTATAAAATTTTATTGTAACTATTTATCTTTTATTCAAATTCTTTTTTTTAAATTTATATACATTATAAATATTTAATTCACTAAAATAATTTTTCAAAAATTTATATTTTTGATAAAATATTTTCGTATAGTATATGAGTTAAAAAATACTAGTATTAATATATATATATATATATATATATATATATTAATTATATTATATTATTTTAATTAAATCTATTATTTTTCTTACAATTTCAAATTCAAAAGTTAAAAAAAATATTTTATGTATCAACTTTCTGTTGTTAGTATTGAACTTCTCTACTCTAACTCTATTCTCATTCTCAATGTCTGTCTCGCTAAAACTTAATAAAACTATGAAATGTTATTCATTAATTAGAGTTAGTTGTTAATGTCGTCACAAGAGGTTACTAAGTGATCACACACAAAGGGATAACCATTGTACAAATCTATTTCGTTGTCGTTCTGACATTACCAACAATCAAATCTCACACAAGATAGGATTATCACTGACAAATAACTTGTGTGTTTAGTTTTGCTTATTGTTTCTAAGAATTTTAGTTTAGAAAATTATTATATTAAGATACATTTAACGTTTATGATCTTTGAATATTTGTTTTTTATCTATATTTGTACCTTGTTTGGCAACTACATATTGAATTTTTGTATTATTATACTACTTATGTGAAGTTATATAAACATATTTTTCTTTATAAATATTTTTTTCTTAAACAAGCGCGAGTAATGAGTACAAGACGGGTATGCGGGTACCTAGAGGGTACGGGTACGAGGATTAATGTTCATACCCATGTGGGTATGGGACCGGGTACGGGTATTTTTTAAAACGTGGATATGGGGATGGGTACTGTAGTATCCTACCCATTGCCATCCCTAAATGGAAGGGTTAAAACTCTTAAAAAGGCTATATATATTTAACTAGTGATATATACCCATGTCATTTCGTTCCGTTTCGTACCAAATTGTGTTTTGTAGTATATATCAATACCATTTCCTAAAATATATACGGCGTAGAAAACAAAGCCTGAACAACTACGTAAAAGCAAGACTCCGTTCGAAAGTAATGACAAATTAGATGATTAAATCTTAAAAAACTATGGACATCAGGACTTGTGAATTGGATAAATCTAAGCTTCCAAAAATTCAAAATCTTGAAAAAGCATTTTTACTTTTGATATTTTTATCTTTTTAATATAATATATTATAAAATAAAATAAATTTATTTGTCAGTTTATTCTTTTTTGCTTTGGCATTTTGTCTCCGGCTGTGCATTTTACCCTTTCCTAATTTCATTGTATTTCAATAAAATACTTCAACAAAATAACGTCACGTTAGTATATAACTCAATAATTTCAATAAAAATATGGTTTAATAATTTCTTATCTATGTATTGCTTGTCAATTTTCTCATATAGTTTTTTCCTGTAGAATTATTTATTTATTTATTTATTGCATTTTTCCGATATCATATGCACATTAATCATTTATGTTTTTTGGGGTAGAATAGACACATTGACTTTTTACGTACTCCGTTAGAATGATCTCAATTGTAATTGAATATGAATATTATATGATTAATTGCTGGTAATCATTTTAAAATATTGCTAGTTTTCTTTTGTAATGTAAAGAAGTTTTAATGACTTACATTTCAAGATTGGATCGTTCATTTTATTCATTCTACTAATTCAAACTATTGAATTATTTTATAAAGAAAATGAAAAAAATTACTAAAATTTTAATTTTTTAAACTTTTAAAAGTTAAAAGATTAAAATAAAATGGTATTACATTAAATTAGAAGTTAAGGGATTAAAATGAAATAAATAAAAATTAGAAGACTAAATTAAATAATTAAAGGCATAATTTCATCATTTTAAAGCACGACATGCATGAAAATTGAAAGGCAAGATGTCATGGTATATAAAAGATTCAATTTAATTTACTAAATTCACAGTATGTACATAAATATCCCTTGATGTAATTGCATTTAGCAATTTAATTAGAAAGTTATTTCAAATTTTAGAAACATAAGTACAAGGCCAACTATTACTCTTGGTGGAAAGATAAAGTCTTGCCAAGGCTACATAAAAGCAACGATGAAGAATTATATGAAATATAGAAAAAATTACCACAAACATTGCCTCTTAACGATTAAACCTTATCTTAAAAGTAAGATTCAAACTATGCAACAGCATCATTTCATATTTAAATTAACATTAAGCATCCTTATTTTTGTTTGGGAAATAGATTCATATATACTAAGAATAATTGGTTTCTGGCAAAATATTGACATTGGACCAAAATTCTTGATGCATTAAATTTTAACATATACAATTGATATTCAACCCAAGTTAGAACTAAAAGTGAAACATGTTGTACAGAAATGAATTGATATTAACATTAACAATAATACAAGAAGGATTTGTTGTTTGGCTACATTAAAACACCCAGCAACTCTAGGGAACAAAAACATAAATTTCATTATACATAGAGCAATTAAAACTTAAGAAAGAAAGAAAGATGAAAACAAAAACTCATCCATCTTCTTGTCTTGTTGATTATTTCATGTTAAATAATTAAAAGGGTCCTTCACATTACAGGATATATATGAAGATTCACCTCCTAAAACTCCAAGCTGACACTGAAAATAGTGGTCTGTCACTCCAGCACACAAGTAAACAATCATTCTCTTCTCGAAATTTGTATTTATGACTATATCTATGCAACAGATTCTTTGCTTCAATCCTTCCATTATAGCTCAAAGGAACCTTAACAAAACCAGCCATTTCAAGCCTCGGAATCCATTTCTCGAGTTTCTCATGCCTCTCCTTTCTATCAACTCCCTCACAAGCAATAATGTTCTTTATCTGCTCCCCAAGAAGCATGCTCTCAAGTTTTTGTCTCTCTAATGATGTTCTCACAACAGTAGAGTCCAAGCAATCAAACAATGCACTGTAAAAGTACAGTGCTCTATCAATTCTTTCCATCAAATTGGATCCATTAAGATTTGATTCTTGTTCAGTAATCACCATCAGCTTTGGTTGGAGTTTTCGCATAGAGCTAAGGAACATTCCCATCTTAGGTGAGGCACCTAAGGAAAGAGGTGACAAAGCAGAATCAGGACTCAATATATATGCATTGATCATATCTCTCTCAAGCCACTCTGCAAAAGTCCTCTGGCCCATGTGCACTGCTCTGTGCAGATTCATCGATGCTGCCGCGGCTGGTGAGACCCTCCCAACCATTTCATCATCAGTAGCAAGAAGAGAATGCAGCTGAAGAACACAAGTGATTGCAAGAGCATCTCCTATTTTCACTGGCAAGTTTTCAAAGTCAACATCTTCCAATTTGCTAACAATTGGATAGAATTGTAGAGGAAAATCCAAATTCCCAGCTTCAGTGATCAAATGTAAGCTCATTTGGTCTAAAACTTGCTTCTTTTCATGGATGCCTGTGATTTTCAAATGGGGTGGACCTCCTCGACGGTTCTTTAATGTTAGTAAAAGGTCTATCCATTGAGCAGGCTCACAACAATGGAGATCAATAATGTGAACCACCTGTTCACATTCCATGGCTTCAACAATGGCTTGGTTTGTCATCATGTATGAAAACTTGAGAAAGGGACACAATTCATAGAAGTACTTTTGAACTAGGATGTCTTCCGAAGACAGTGATGTTTTTGAGGAATAAAGAGATTTATATACACCAGGCAAATGTTTGATTATCCTATAACCAAGTGCTTCACTGAAATAAGTGACCATTCTTTCCACAGCATTGCCATCAGGAGATGAAATCTGAGAAATGTACTCAAGCCCAATATCCGCATTCTTGATGCTTCCTGATGCTACACATTTAGCACAGTCTATAAGAAGGCTTATTGGATTTAAGCCATGAGAGTCCCATCTCAGCTCCCTCATCCACTGGTATGGTGAACCTACTCCATACTAACTAAATTAGAACATAAAAGATTTTCATTCCACCCAAACCATGCAATTGTTAGACCAAGCGTTATTGTCCTAATACAATACGCCAATTTCACATAATTCTTGTTCTCTTATTGTTTATGCTTAAAAAGAATAGTGATTCCTCCTGAGGCTACTATTTTTGTAGTTTAGAAAAAAAAAGTTTAGCAAAATTGATATTTTAATAAAATATAGTACAAATTTGTACTATACTTTTATTTTTAAAAATAGAAAATTGATTTTAAAGAGTAAATCATGCTCTAACTTTATATTTCTCGTTTTAGAAAAACAAAATTGATACTGTAATTGTAATTTTAAAAAAAATTAAGAAAGCGTTTCAGTAGAAAAGGTACAAACAAACAAGCAAAGTTCTTACAAAAAGAAAGTTAAATTATTTTGTTCTTTCATTAGACTCAAATGATTGCCCCAAAAAAAAAAAGGTTAATTGAACAGCAAACGTAATTCTTTATTTAGGAAGGTAAACAATAATAATGCTTAGATATCTCGTTTTGAGTAATTGATCAACTTATCATGCATCTAACTCTCATAGACATAGCTTGGTCAATTTACAGGGTAAAATACTATTTCTAAAGCAATGATAAAAAAATTCCATAAAAGTATACAATCCTTTAGATGGTGAATAGGCTGTTAACTCTAATGAGCAAGCATAATTTTTATAGTGACCCTAATATGTTTACTACAATGTTTTCACGTACTTGGAATGTTATGCTGTGATTTCTTCTTCTTGAAAGGCTCAAATATTCAACAGCTATTGAACAATCATATTCTTATAATACAAAGTGATGCATGTCAGCTTTTAAAGTTTCTATCATTATGTCCCTTCTACTTCTGATGAAGCCTTGTATTTAGCGACAAATTTCATAAATGAGAGAATAAAAAATAAAACAAATTATCACCTGAGTCCATAAGGTGAAACTTGGACAGATGATAAATCACACCACCAACTTCAAATTAATAACAACTAGAGTTCTTGGTAAGGCCTAAAAAGGGTCTAAGAGCATCCAAATCAAAAGTCCTAAAAAGTTCTCTAGCTAAATGCGAAGCTCTATAGTGTTTTGTGATGCGGGGTTTTATAGACCAAGTTAGTTAAATTTAAGCTCTTGTCTTGAAGAGTGTCCCTAGAATGGACAAGAGAAGTGGTTGATAATGTCACCTCAAATTTATTTGCATATTCACAAGCAACAAATGAGATGGAATTTTGGAAATGCAGAGCCTCTTCTGGACAAAGTTGTTTCCATGTTAGAGTAGAAGATATGTGTGCTGGCCAGAATAGGAATCATTGTCAAATACAAGCATGTTCAAACGGGCTATGGTTGTTTCCTAGTGGTTGATGATGAGGATAGCAAGGAAAAGCTTAGGAAGATCCTCCAAAACAATATTGGATTCATGTTGGAGGCTAACCCCTCTACTAGGGGACTTCTCCTTGGACAAAGGAGAAAACAAATTACTAAGTCAAGAGCTCAAGTTGAGAGGAAAATGCGTTTATGATGTTTTCATATGCTTATTCTCACATTGGAAGTTGATGCCAAATCTTGCACTCTCTATGCAACAATGCAACCAATAACATTCTTCTATGCAGTATATTTTTGTGGATATCTTGTAACTTAAATTGATTCACCAGCAATTTATCTGTTTAGGATTTTGTCACTAGCTTAATCAACAGGATTTCATGACATATAAGATAAAATACAACTTGCGGAAAAACGAAAAACAAAAGATAACAAAAGAATCTCGTTTAGCTGTTCTAAATTAACCAAAAGCGATAACCAGGGAACAAGAATGAAACAAATACTATCATATACCAAAACTTAAGTTACAATAGCACTCACTCCCCAACATAATAATTAAGGTAATTTTTATTATAATTAACGAATGGTTTGAATCACTCAATCAGCTTTTTTAGTTAATTTGTTTAATTTTCAATTATTACAACCAAATCTTTTTGCCTCTTTTTATGCACATAAAACTCTCAAATCTTTATGTGACCTCACTCAATTTTCTAGCATGACCTTACACCAAAAATGTTCCTTGGAATTGTTCGTTGACAGTGAGCGAGGTCTCACTACGATTATGTAAGAAACCTCGTGAGGAGTTGTTGCTTTCTGTAAATGAGGCCCGTGCAATGTCAAAAATTGTCTCCTTTCAGTCATTTTCTTTGGACTGTGCTTTTATAAAATCCTAAAAATAAAAATAAAGAAAAAATTAAGACAATATCACTTATTTACACCAAACTAGCAACAAATATAACATCTCTTAAATTTTTAGAAATTTTAACTACTTTAATAGGCAAAACGAACTTTTAAGCTTTCATCACTTTTTTTTTATTCAATTTACCTTTAACTTTTTACAAAATACCCATATATTTGCTATCCTTCTCAAATTTATTATATTCATTTATTTGACACTACTCTTAAAAGTAAACTTATGGAATATTATTTAACAACACTTTCGACAAGTTACTTCTGGAAATGGTAACGAACACAATTCTAAAAATTTATTTTAAAAGTATATATAAATTAATTCTAAAAATTTAATCTTGAAAGCTCTTTGAATTTCAAAAATTTATTTTAACAGCTATCAGAATTAAGTTTTCAAAAGTCTTCCATCTTTAAATTTATTATTTTATTTTTTTGGAAAAGAGAAGAAAAATAGTTTTGAGAGTGTTTTTAGAGTAAATTTTTTAACAAAAGATAAGGTGGTGTCTATTTTTATTTTTTAAGTTGAAGGGTGGTGTATTTAGGAAAAGAAAAAAAGAATTGGGCCGCACTTGTATCCAATCAGAGCCCAATGCAACTGAGTAGGGCCCATTTTCTTCTTTTTTCCCCCGAAAAATTGTAGCATATGCATTGCAAAACTTGATGATGCGGGAACCGAAGAGCCCTGGCGTGAAGATCCTATGGCTTTGGACCTTCGGAACTGCCGCCAGTAGTCTTTCTTCCTCTCTTTATCCCTCAATTTTTCAATACCTTCGATTATTGAACTTACAATGATATGACTCAATTTTGTGTGGCAGTACTCGTTACCAATGTGATAAGCAACAGATTAAGGGACCTCGAAACACTCATGAACGCCGAGCAACAGCACGATGCCGCTACCACTGCCTCGCCAGACCCTAATATTCCAGATAACAAACACTGATTTTCATTTCATTTTATTCATTTACTTTGTTCAATAAAAGTGTGTGCAACCTGTTTGTTGAATCTCCTAACTGAACTTAGACTGGCACTAACCTGCTATATTTGGAAACCCAAATTTTAGTGCTTCATTTAATATTTTGTGGTATGTGTTTTGTATCATATTCTGAACTAATTCGAGTCTTGTGGAATGTGTTTGGATTCAGGTTTAATCTATCACGAACTCTGTTTCTTTAGTTGAAATTTTTGCACTAAAGTAAGTTTTAAACGTGCTAAAGTCCAGTTCCAAATGGTGAGAGTATATGATATGAAAGGCAGTTTATTATTTCAGAATTTGTGAGGGATTCTTTTAAGGGCGTTGAGAATGCTTGCTTTACCACATGATTTTCAGCGCATTAGCCTCGTTAATTATGTGACCTTCGGCACAAGTATGTTATTTGCTTTAACATTTTAATGAAAAGAAAACATGCTTTGGTAAAGTACGCTTCAAAAAGATCCAAAATTCTGTATTACTGATAACGTCTGACTAGCTAATTTCAGTCAAAAATAAATTTTATTTCAATAAATGCAATATAAATGAGTAAACTTACAATTAGTTCATGGGATAGTAAGAATGGGGCATTTCAATTTTTTACTTTTAAATTATCTTGTTAATTTCTTGGATGTCAAAAAATTAATTCCTTGATGTTAACAAACGTCTGGTAAATATTTTTTATTAACATGCTATGTTAAGTGATAGTGTGATGTTACCTAAGTTCTAAAAGAATAAGCTTTTTTTCTAACACCAAAGATCGCCCGCAACATTACCACAAAAACTTAACATTGGTGATGGCAACATGTCATAGAGGGGATACCAAATTGGTGGTACCATTTCCGCTTCTATATCGATGATGATCACAAAATGTGGTAACATTTTAAAATTTTAAGAAATTTTGATACCATATAAATTTATACATTAATTTTTTTTAAGGTAAATTTAGTGTTTTTACAATTAAAAATAAAACTTATTATTTTTAAGCTTTTTTTTTTAAACTTGTATTGTTCAAATTCTCTTTATTCTCACCTTATAAATATCAAAATAATGAAAATAAAGTTTTTCCTTTTCATATTATATAAAAATTTTGTTGTTATGAAACTTTGTCTTCTACAATTTTTTAAAGTACTTATTTTTAGAAAATATGTAAATGATTATAATATTTAAAAGTTGTAGAAACAAGTTTGAATCATCATCATTCTCTTATAAAAACACTTATCACATAAACATATGAATATATTTTTAATTGTTTTATTTATATAATCAATCATATGATTATATTTTTAAGTTAGTTAAATTTTTATATATTTACTTACAATTTAAACGTTGTAGTGAGATCCTTTAACTTTACTTTTGTTAATTATTCAACAATTTTGTCAAATAAGATATATACAATTGAATTAGTAGAATATTTGACATCAAGCACAAGACAAAACTTATTATGTATAAAATTTTAAAAAAATAATAACTTAATTTTAAAAAACTATAAAACAAATTCATTAACTTATTATTGGATAATCAACCTCTTTATAACAACCTTTGCATTTGAAATTTTGATGTCCTGAAAGAAACATTTCTCTTACAATTGGGGATAAGAAATGTAATACAAATCATGTCTTAGCAATACATTATTCATAATTGAAATACAATAATAAATACCATTCTAAAATTTAATTAAAAAGTAACTTTAGTTAAAGGATAAAATAAGAAACCAATGAATGTTGGTCTAAGTCAGATCCAATTAAATTGGATGGAAAACAAAAAAAAAAGGATAAAATAAGAAAAAAATATTTAAAAACTTAAATTTATCATGTTACTCTTTAATTTTGTTAGCCAAATTTTGAGATATATTCTTCAAATTATCAAACTCAAAAAATCACAGATCTTCTAATATCAATATTTTTAAAAATATGCATATCATTGAAATCCTGCAATAAAATGATAATAAAAAATTTAGTATGTCAATATTAACACAAATTTTTGTCATCTTGATGTAGAAATAGAAAAATCACCTATAATACATGCATTCACATAAAAATAAAATTTAATATATGATACCACTTAAAAATAATGAATTTTATATTGATTCAATAAATATAAAATAAAATATATTAATATAATTTATTAAAATAAAATAAAAATATAATTCTAAAAAATATTTGTACTTACTTATTTAGTGTCTATTGAAAGTTGACATAATTACAAAACACAGAAAATAAAATAAGATGATATAAAGAATTTTTTATAAATTTTCATAAGTTGTGTAAAAATTACTTATTGAGGTGAAAATTAAGAGAAGATAAAAATCTTGTGTAATAAAGATTTTCTATTCATTTGTGTTACAATTATATAAAAAAGATACATAAAAAAATAAAAAAAATAATATAATGAAATTTATTTTTCATATATTAAAAGTTGTCAATATTCAATTTTTGTGAAATTATTTTCATACACTTTTAATTAATACTTATTATTGTTTTCAATGTTTTACCATGAGCTTTTTCATATTTATATATAATGAATTTCAATAATTTTTCATTAACTACAGTTTATAATCAATTTGCTATTTTCGTTTTTAATATCGTATAACCATCAAGATAAAATTTTATAAACAATTAATTCTAATAAAATTTTCTTAAATACAATTTAAAAGTGATAATTTTAAATTAATTATAGTTTAAATTCTTAAGTTATATAAAATATTAATAATAGTCTGCATAGAGTTTTATTTTCCACTTTTATGTATAATCAATTTCAATAATTTTTTTTAAATATAATTCATAACTAATTTGTTGTTTTTTTTTCTAACATGCTAGAAAGCGATACTACCAGCATCCATCTGGACCATTAAAGTCATCAACACTTTATGTAATATCATTCTTCTAGTGTTGTAACGTCTTTAATAACATAATGCACTCTAATATAAAATAGTTACATAAATTATTGATTTATCAAAGTCTAACATTCCTTTCACCACTATGGTTTTTTCTTATACCGGAAAATGAAAGCTAAAATTAGAGAAAAAATGAAACCTTTAAGAGGATTGAGAAAAAAATGATTTTAGAATGTTGTTGGAACTAAGTGAAATTAGGATATTGTAAATTAAAAGTTGGAACTTATTTTTTTTATTCATACTAACAATCTTTAAATACAAAAAAGACATAATTAAAAATTAATTATAATTTTACTCATTAGTCTAGAAATAAATCACAAATAAAATCATCCATAAATTTATAACAATTTATTAACTTTAATAATTTTTATAATTAAAACTCATAAAGTAGAAATAAACATCAATAATAGATCATAATTCAAATTCTCAATACTTTATTTTGTGCAGCTATTGATTTTAAGTTTTTTTCTTAAATTCTTGAATTGTTCTTTTAGGAGTGTCTTTATAAAGTTGTCTGTTAATTGATCTTTTTTCTTGCAATATTTTAATAAAACTTTACATTTTTTATGAACTTAAAAAAAAAATACAACTTATATTGAATAATTGATTAAGCCACAATATCTTACTTTTTTGAGACTCAATAAAAAACTCTAAAACTAAAATAATAACCAAAAATATTTTAAATATCATATGATAAACCTTTCCAATCACTATTAAAAAACTCATAAAAATTAAATTATTAATTATACTTGAATTAAACTCTATAACCAATAGTTTTTTTAACATATCTCAACACACATTTAATAACTTACTTGAAGACGCACTTCACTTTCACAATGTAAGAATCTAAAAAAAATATTTATAACTTGCAAAATATCATGCCTTTTTGTTGTAAGATACATGAAATAACTTATAAGAATTTTCAAAGTAAATAATTTGACTCAAGAAGGGTAGAAACTAAATTTAATGCATATAGAATGTCAGGTTTTGAATATGTTCGGAGATAATTTCCAGTAGCATCCCAGTCATTTTCTAAGGCTACAAATCCTAAAAATCTCCGATAAACAGTTTTGTTACTTTTTAGTAACATTGACTGATTGTAAGAACTATAATTAAATATTTATTAAATTAAGAATGAAGTAAAAAAAAAAAAAAAACTGAAGTGATAGATTTCCTAAAAAAATACACTCTTGACTCATGTGAAAGCAAAATCATTCCACCCACGTTTCATTTCCCGTAGGTAACGAAAACTTATCACATTCTTTACATTTTAGGTAGAAAGGTGCAAAATCCAAGGCATACAGAGGACAACATGCCACATTCATGATCCTACTAAATGAATGCGTCCTGAGGCATAACAATTTTGTGTGTATTAAAACCCCTCCACACCAATCGACCTGAGTCATCACCCCAAATCCAAATCCAAAATAAAAAGAAACATCACAAACAAAAAAGAATGATCAATACTAGGCTCATGGTTTTGGGCATCATTGGCCAACAACAATGTTGTAGTTGGTCAGTGCCAGGGTGACATAGAGGGCCTCGTAATCCAATGTGCAGTGTATGTTGAGAAGTCTGGTCCTAAAATGAATCCATCAAGCACGTAGATGTTTCATGTCTGTGAAGCCACTTAACCAAGGCAATGTTTCAGTTTATTGATATACAAAAGGTTATTTATGTTATTCAGTTGTGTGGAACCAATTGTGGAGGTATATGAAGATTTAATCAAATCAATTTTTCTCTGATTACCAGTATAAACCAAACATATAGTGGTTGATTATGTCATCGCTTATCAGCACTGATTGACTTTTGTTTGTTCTTCAGGTGTTACCGTGCCGTGAACTAGTGGAGGAAATTACCTTGATCTTATGCTAGCTTTTATAATTTAAGATGATTTCAGTATAATAAATTGATTAAAGAAGTTTGTGTATTAATTTGACCACGGGAAAATAGTTGTTTGTACTTAAGAAAATTGTTCCCATAACATTTATGACTAATTATTTTATAGTTTTAAATTTTTAAACCATTCTAATTTTTAATTTATTTTTTATTACAATATAAAATTTAAATATTTAAAGACCAAGTATAAAAAATTCATGAATTATAAATATAATTAATTACCTACCATACTTGAGTATATAATTTATATCATTTCACCTTGTTTTATGGTTTTATTTATTTTTAATAACAGAAAAATAATATAATATTTTAAATAAAAACAATAAAAATACATAAATTATCCAATATACAAATTTATTTTTAATAACACTTTAATAATTTATTATTTAATCAACAACTACAAAAATACCAGAAATTAATTCCAATTTTTTAATAACACAACAACTTCATAATTTTTAAATAACATCTACAAAAATTTTATCAATTATAAAAAACAAATTACTACCCTCATATGCTTGAATAAATTATTTACATTATTTCTACATTATTTGCCTTTTTAAAATTATTTTTTATAACACTATAGTAATTTTTATTTTAAATAAAAATTTAAATTTTTTAATTAAATACTACCTTGATATATTTCATTTCTACGTTTTTTAAACTAATAATAATTAAATATTTATAAGCTTCTTCTTGACTTTTTGTTTGATTTTAACAACAAATTTGTAGATTATATATAGCTTGAATATTCTAGATAAAAAAGAGTATTCACAATAATTAACCACCAGGTATAATATTTTCTCGCGACACTAGTACAAGTAATGTGACACGTTTACATACATGTGCTGGTGATATATGTTTATGACTATCTCCACGTGTTGTGTTAAGCTCTGGGCTTGCATCTAACACATGGGATGATACTATATTAATATAATAGAAAAAAAACTTATATACATGATTAATTTTTAATTAATTCTATTTTAGGAACTTGTTTTAAAAATATATTATTTACATAAAAAAATTCTAAATTAGACTTAATTTTAGCCAATTTCACTACTTGTATTTTTTCTAATTTTTTATTTATTTTTTATTTCTAATTCAATTAGAATAATAAATTTTTTTATTAAATAAGAATTATAAAAATTCAGATGTTACATGTTTGATCTTTAGTTTTTTTCTTTTACAAGTCATACATTAAATGATAGGTTTTTATGTAATTGTACTGTATGAATTACACGTTGTGCGATTATATATACTTTGATTCATAGAAAACATTATGAATTCTAGAAAAAAACGTGAGGGTAATGCAATTTAATAAGCTATAATTTTTATTTTTTTAAAATTAAATTTAATAAAGTTCTGTAAATTTAGGAGTATCACTTATGGTAGGTTTAAAATACTTAAATATATAGTGAAAGTTGTGTTTCGAACATTAACTTTCATGTACTTTATAAGGAAGTCTTTTGTAATTTAAAATATTTGATTTAGTTAATCCACTTTTTCTTCTTATATACCATGTTTGTTAGTATATTCAATTACTTACAACGGTTTTTAATTATAAAAAATATACTTGACGAAACATCAATATATGATTCTTTTGATTTTAAAGAGCACTCTTTTATAGTAAATAAAATGTATATAATTTTAGCTACTTCCTTATTAACATTGACATTTATATGCAGTTGGCCTACTATATTAGCTTTTAAGATTATAATCTTATCAAATGAAATTTGAAAAATGACTTTCTTTTTCATTTGTTTTATGCTATCCCATAAAAAGTAAATTATGGCATTTATTTTTATATGTAACACATTTTAATTTTGTTTAAAAATTTTATGAAAATATTTTCTTATCAATAATTTTATTCATTCATTTATTTATTTTTATGTATTTTCTTCTTTAATTATACAAACTTTTTCTTTTACCACTTCTTATTTATTTTGTTTAATAATAATAGAAATAAAAATTTAAAATATAATTAAAGATTTAAATAAATTATTCAAACAATCTAAAATTTATTGCATTGCATAAGTTTAACGAGTAATAAGATTGAAAATGTTGAAAAGTTTAATAATAATAATAATAATAATAATATGTGTAGATCATTCTCTCCCATCATCTTCAAATATTGTTATATATTAATTTTTATGAAATTATGTTATTATTAAAAATAATTTTTTTGAAAAATTAATAATTAAAATAGTTTTAAATTTAATATTTTATAATAATAAAAAATAAAAAATATTTAAACTAAATCATTTTAAATTTTAATTGAATTTTAAATGGTAAAAGAAAAGAAAAAGTGTAAGATGTCTTGTAACGTAGCCTTGAGACACACTCGCTGCCTATTTTATTTATTTATTTATTTATTCTATTCTGCAATTTCTGCTCAAAGTCAGTGTATGGTAGCATCTACAGTGACCATGGCAATCCCCAACCACCATCAGTCGCACACTCCTCTCCGTTCCTTCACCTCAAAGATCCTTCTCCTCCTCACTCTCCTCCCTGTGTCTTTGGCTGCCATAGCATTCATTCTTCAATGGCGCGGTGGCATCAGCGATCCTGTGACCCTTTTGTCCCCTCCTGGGTCCCACCACTCCTTCCCTGGGATGGACCCTTCGCCCCTTTCTCCTCTCCAACATTCGCATTCTGACTGTGTCAATCTTGGACGCACCTCTTCCCCTTCCTTCCCTTACTACCACAATTGGAAGCTTGACTTTGCTGCTTCTCTCAGGCCAAAGGTTTCTTGTTTGGTTCCGTTTTTCACTTGGGTTGATTGGTTTCATATTTGTTGTTTTTGTTTGTTTGGGAATTTGATTGGTATTGTAGGGTGTGCAATTTCTGGTGTGTGAGGTCATGTGATCTGTGTGTTTTATGAGTCTTTCTTTAACGGGAACGGTTTGGGAGTTGTATAGGTTATTAATTAATTACATGATGGTTGTTTCTAAGGATATGTCTCTGTTAACGTTCTTATTTTCAAGCAATTTTACTAGTAGAAGTCGTTTATATCCTTACAAATCTAATAGGAGTGTTCATTTGGGTTAATCCATGCTGATGGGTTTATATACATTTCAACAAATGTTATTCATGTGATCTGTGTTATAGTGCTTTTCTATGATCTGTGCTTAATGGGTTGTTTGTTAATCGATTAATGAAGAGAACTTTTGTTACTTGCAATTTTTTGTGTGAAATATTAATATTTTTTATGAAAATATTATTGATGGTTAGTGTTCTTATCCTTGAGCTATATTATCAACAACAAAAAGCTATTTTTGCCTTCACTTTTAGTATGAGACCTTGATTTACTTTATCTCTAGTTCTCTATAGATTTTATGGAAGTATCACTATTAATTTAAATCCACATTTTCTTGAAGTACAGATCTGTGTTACAACTAGTACATCAGGGGGGCTTGAGCAGATTCTACCTTGGATGTTTTATCATAAAGTCATTGGTGTGACAAATTTTTTACTGTTTGTGGAGGGAAAGGCTGCTTCTCCTGAAGTATCAAATGTCCTGGAATCTATTCCTGTACGTAGACAAACATTGTATCCATCTCTGGAATCAGGATTCAACTCTTTTGACCCATTTTGCTTTCTTTTCCCTAATAATACTTTTTTAATTTGGCTTTGTTATTTAACTAGGGTGTAAAGGTTATATATAGAACAAGACAGCTGGAAGAACAGCAGGCTAAGAGGTTTAATCAATTTTACCATTGTCTTATTGACTCTCCTCCTTTGAACTCATTTTTCATTTTATAATGGTAAAAGAATAGTGTTTTTGGGAATTTCTCAATTTGCATATAGATATGCAGGATGCATTTCACTATTATAGTATGATGTTTCAGAATGTCCATAATGACTCTTGTAAATATTCAAGTTCATTCTTCTAATTGTTTTTGCTCATTACTATAAATTCTTTATTTCTTTTCCTTGCTCATGTTATATACTTTATATATTCTTGCACAATATTAAAGTTCTCTTGTCTTCAGGATACTTGTTATTGTAATTCTTAACTTTCTAAGAGATTGTTTTTGCAACTTTTTCGTTATGCTAATTATTTATTTTTTTGGTTGCATCAGCCGTATTTGGAATGAGACATGGCTGGCAGGTTTCTTTTATAAACCATGCAATTATGAACTTTTTGTGAAGCAATCCCTCAATATGGAGATGGCTATTGTTATGGCAAGGGTATGGAAAACTGTTGTGTTGCACTAATCCTTAAGATTTGGTGTGTAATTTAATTCATCAACACAATGTTCTGCTTGTTGAAATGATAGGATGCTGGTATGGATTGGATTCTTCATCTCGATACAGACGAATTAATACACCCAGCTGGTGCTTCGGAGTACTCTTTAAGGCAGTTGCTCCTTGATGTTCCAGGACACGTTGATATGGTCATATTTCCTAACTATGTGAGTAGAATCAGATAATTCTTCTGAATTGCATGGCATTCATGTATATAACTAGAATGGATTTTGCTATATGTTAGCTTCAATTTTATAACTAGGCTGCTGTCTTTGTTGTTTGTTAGGAGAGCAGTGTTGAGCGAGATGATGTCAAAGAACCTTTTAGTGAGGTAAGCGCTGAATACACAGTCATTCAAGTGTGTCTAACTTATTACAGAGAACCTGAAATAAACAATATGTCATTAATATAATTATATTTGGATCGTTAGTCTACAAATGTAAATCCCTTTACAATGCTATTTCTTTTCTTTAATTAACTATGCAAATTTTTTTATTTTCGACAACTAAACATATGAGTTCATTAATAGAAAGCAATGGATTCTCTATATCAATAATTGTGACCTACTATGTCGATACACAGTTGACATTCACATTGTACTGACAAAGCTGGTTTTACTGAATTTTTTGTGGCTGTATCTGAGTTTGTAGAATAGCTATGAATTATGACCTACTATGTCGATACACAGTTGACATTCACATTGTACTGACAAAGCTGGTTTTACTGAATTTTTTGTGGGTGTATCTGAGTTTGTAGAATAACTATGAATTATGACAGTAAAATTCAAAATATCTATTATCTATATGGCATTAATTTTATGATTCAGTTGAGGTACAAGCTTTTGAGTTCAAAGTTTGTTATTATCTAAACTGGTCCATCAGGTCACTGTACTTACTTTAGAGGGAGCAAATGTGCATGAAGGATGAGATGTTGTTATGGTAAACTGATAGAAATGGTGTGTCTTATTGAGAAGAATTAGGGATCCCAATCATTAGGATAGAGCACTGCAATCCTCTGAGGGACAGCTCCTCCCAAGCCAAAGGCCCTAAATTCTCTCACAATTGACATGATCGAGACTCCTTCTCAATCTGTTCTACTTGTTTATAGGCAGCATGCTAATGTGGGTTACCTAACAATGCTTATTTTAGCTACTAATGTGGATTACCTAACAATATTCCCCTCCTAAACACTCACCTTGTCCTCAAGGTGAATAGCTATATTAGCTGCAAAACAAAATTCCAGTGGCGTTCCTTTTGTTTGAAGGATGATGATAAGCCAACACCACCCTGCTGCCCAAACCTAGCTTCCGTTCCTCCTGGGTTAAACAAAGACATGTGAATACCCTTGTGCTCCCTTAGTGTTCTGCTGTCTGTAATTATACTGAGATCCCATGGCTCTCTTGTGAATTGCACTGCTACACATGGTTGCAGTGGATGAATATAAAGATCCTCCACTTTGTTTTGCTTTTGTTTAGTGGGTTGATCATACTGCCCAAACCCAAAACCTTCTCTGTTGGTGTTGGTTCAGTCCTTAACTCTCCCTTCATACCAAACATAGGGCCTCCCTCAATCTTTGCCTCCACTTTGCAACCCAAAGAAACGCCCATTTCACTGTCATTTTTGCCACTGAGTCTTGATCTCAAAAACATCATTCTTGTTTCTGTTTTCTACTACTTTGTCCAAAATGTTGTTGGGTTGCTTTTTTGTTGGATTTTGATAGGAACTCAAGAAAGAACAAAGAAAGAATTTCTTTATTGAAGAAGAATTTTTGTAACTCTCAATGGTGTCTCAGAGCTAGGCTCCTCAGAAAAGAACTCTGCCAAAAATTAATAATCAACAAAACTACCCCGTCTCCCTTCTCCTAACAACTATTTATATCACATATTACAATCATCCAGTTCATCTAACCAACATAGCCTAAAGTAGGCGCCAACTCTAACAAACTAACAACTGATCGTATACTCCAATAGGACCCTTATTCTTCCTCCTTCTATAGTAAACCACCTGTTGAGACACTTGGTGCTGGCCGTTGTAATACACAATGACTTTCTCCAAGTCCATTTCTACTCCTTTCTTGGATATAATGTGACCAAGATACTCAATTTGTTTCTTTGCCAAAACTGCATTTCTTCAGATTAACCAAAAACTGATTTGCTTTTAGTAACTCCAACATTTGTGATAAATGAAACAGGTGCTGAGACCAGTCCACACTATAGATGAGTATATCATCAAAGGAAACCAACACAAACTGATGAAGAAGTGGTTTAAAAACATGGTTCATGGTAGATTGAAAAGTGGCTGGTGCGTTCATCAACCCAAAAGACATAACGATCCCTCATGCATTCTAAAAGTAGTCTTCTCAATGTCCTCCTCCTTGACCCAGATTTGGTGGTAACTTGACTGCAAATCCAGCTTAGAAAAATAGGTCATATAATGCACAATGGTGAAAAGGGTGAAACTTCTCCCCATATCTCAAACAAAGTCCTTTAGCCTTCAATCAAGCAGTTCTTGGTTTGCAAATGTCAAAAATCCCTGTCTCTGCCCATACTTTCATAAGTTTTTTGGTGTTTGGAGCTGAAGATCCCACCAAAGAAAATGAACCCTTGCTGGCTGTTGACGATGCTCCACCACCATCAATAGTAGCTTTCGAACGCGATGTGTTCTGTTGAAAACCATTCTCCTTCTGCAAAACTTTCACCCTAAATCCTCTCATCGCCCCTGAAGTGTTCTAATTGTGATCTCAACCTACACAAGTCTTAGCAATCCCTGTCAGCTCTGTTTCAACATAGTGCGCCGACCACATGGGCTTGAAATGGTCTCTAGGGTGATGTGTTTGTATCCTTAACTTAATTTTGTCTTTCAATCCTTTCATGAAAAAACACAAGAAATGATTCTCAAGCAAACATCCTACATGAGAAGTCAAAAATTTGAATTCTATGATGAACTCTTCCATAACCTGCTTGTTTCAGATGGCAAGTTTTTCAATGAGATCCTCCAATCACGTGTCTCCATAGGGATGTGCTAAAGCTTTCTTGAAAGAATTCCAAGGTGATTCCTCTTAATCGAACCAAGATTGGAACCAATGAATGGTTCTTTCCTCCATACTAAGCCTTGCAAGCTTCAACCTGACCTCTGCCAAAGTTTCCTAGACATGAAAATGAATTTCCCCCTCTTGATCCATCCCATGGGATCAGCACCAAATGTCGGCAACTCCACCTTTTTAGTGGCCAATCAAAACTCATCTAGCATTGCGTTTCCAAAACAAAACAAGCATTCCATTCCATCACTCAGATTAGGGATTTGATCTGTCAATTTCCCCAATTGAGCAAGAATGAATTTAATGTACCCTCCATCATCTTCATACGAGCTTCCATTGAACCCATACGGTTCTCAAGGACATTAACCTGTTGATTCACATCCATCTTGCGTGGCATTAATTGGTTCCTCCTCACAAAAAAACTCTTCAATTGCTCTCCTCTTTTGTATCTGGCAAGTTGGACCAATGATAGGAACTCAAAATAGAACAAAGAAAGAATTACCTTATTGAAGAATTTTTGTACACTCTTAGTGGTGTCCTTGAGCTAGGCTCCTCGGAGAAGAACTCTGCCAAAAATTAACAATCAACAGAACTCCCCCCTCTCCCTTCTTACAACTATTTATGTCACACATTATAATCATCCAGCTCATCTAACCAACATAGCCTAAAATAGTTGCCAACTCTAACAAACTAAACAACTGATCCTATACTCTAATAGGACTCTTATTCTTCCTCTTTCTATAGTAAACCACCCACTGGACACTTGGACCTGAAACTAAGGGATCCATGACACTTTGGACCCAATCAGATTTCTCCCTACCTTTGGTATCTTTTATTTTTCAAGTATTGCAGCAGCTTCAAAGTGCTGTTCCACATTAATCAGCCATCAATGACTGCTCGTCCCAAACCAAAGTCCTTAAATTCTCACACAATTGACAAGATCTCTTCTTCCTCAATCCCTTCTACTTATTTATAGGCAGCATGGCTAATTAATTAAGTCAAGCTAACTAACATATTAAAACTATTCAGATGTCCCACATTGGTAGGGTCAGAATACTCCTTATAAGGGCTAATGCGGTCCTCTTCCTATGAGCTAGTTTTTGGAAGTGAGTTAGACCCAAATTTCTTAACATAGTATCGGAGCTTATTTAGTCCTATTGGGTCACCCACAAATGTCCCGTTCTGCAAATTTCATGCACTAAATGTCTAATCTTGGGTGTAAGGAGGGTGTGTTAAGATATCCCACATTGGCTAGGAATAAAGTCAAAATACTTCTTGTAAGGGCTTGTATAGTTCTTCTCCTATGAGCTAGTTTTTACGAGTTAGACTCAAGTTTCTTAACAATAACTAACTATTAATGAGTAATTAGGATGTTGTAACTACTAATGTGGGTTACATAACATAAACATTTATTTCTAGGTTGAGCATCATATAGGAGCTTTCTTAGCTGACTTAGGTGGGTAGGATAGGATAGAAAGTTTGTTAGGATTCAATTGTAAGGTACAAGACTTGAGTCCCACATTGGAAGTACAGGATTCAATAATATGGTTTGGTTCTCCCAAGGATCTTATCAGAATTGTTTTGAAGTGTTTTAATCGTTGAAAATGTTAACAGGAAAGGCATTGATGCATGAAGTTAAAAGTTAAGAGTTGGTGGTGCATTAGGCATGTAAACATATTGGAAAATTTTAACTAAATAAAACTGCCTAACTCAACATTTTTTGCTCTGAATCAATACCGGACAAGTGATCAGCACATTTCTGACATCTGAGGCAATAAACTTGAGTTCTGTTATCTAGTTCTGTGGGCCCCCAAGACTCCAAAGCAAAGTTTGCTTTAGTAATGATGCAGTTATATACTACAAAATATCGTGGGGTTTTGTATGCATCTGTAAGCAGTGGCAGTGTTTTATGTACTAGAATTAGCATTTCAAACACCTCTATTCAATGGTTGCCTCAGTCAAACAAGGTTTGTATTTTAGGGTCAAAAGTCTTGTGGGATATTTGATTATGATTCTAATGCTCATTGAATGAGGGTGTATACTTTTAGCAGTCTCAGCTCAAAAAAATTAAAAAATTAAAATAAAATCTCTAGTAGTCAACACTGGATACAATGACACTTTTGCTACTTTCCTACTTTGATTATGCACCACTATTATAAGATTGGTTTTAAACCAAATCTTCTAACATGAAAATAATTCTGAATTATAAATTTGTAACCTCTTCACCCTGATCTGTCAAAGCAGGTGTCAATGTTTAAGAAGAATTATGACCATCTTCCAAAGGATACATACTTTGGCATGTATAAAGATTCTGTACGTGGTAACCCAAACTATTTTTTGACTTATGGAAATGGCAAATCAGCCGCCCGGATACAAGATCATCTTCGGCCTAATGGTGCACACAGATGGCATAATTATATGAAAACCCCAAAGTATAATCCTTTAACTCTTAAGATGTGTCTCCCTTGATTTTTTGTTATTTCCCTGATAGTTTTCCTGAATTATGATAGTGAAATCAAATTGGAAGAAGCTGCCGTTTTACATTACACTTATGCTAAATTCTCAGACTTAACTTCAAGACGTGATCGTTGTGGTTGCAAACCTACGAAAGAAGATGTGAAAAGATGCTTCATGTTGGAATTTGACAGATCTGTAAGTATTTTGGATTTTTTTAATTATTCTTTCACCTTTGTCTTATTCAGTTTCCTATTTTGATTGCATATCAGAAAACAGGATTTCTTATATTGGTATGTGGGGGTGCAAATGAGTTGAGCTAGACTAGTGAGGAAAAGAGATTGCTCAAGCTTGCATCATTTATTTAAATGAGTCATATTTAAAACTTGAGCTTGACTTGTTTAAAAATATGCTTGGATTTGGCTCATTTAGTTAGTGTATGGTTTGATTATCTTTTTTACTATCAAAATTCCCTGTGAAAAAATGTTTTTTAATCAATTTAATATTTAGCAGACACCTTTATGCTAAATATAGAAATAAAATATAATTTTATATTCATAAAGATGACATTAGATTAAAAATGCAATCGTTATTGATAGAGATAATAGATATTTTTAAGAAAATTTATGGTTGACCATTTAAAATATGACTCTTGATGATCAAAATAAGGTAAATAATTAATATCAAGTCTGCAAAACTTGAGCTTTGTGTGTAAGACCGTCTATTCTGCAGACTTGTTTGGGGACCCAATTAGTGTAAACTCAGTCGCAATTGAGTGTATACACTAAATGGGGAAAGTAATTGTCTAAGTAGATTGGTTGTATAGGTAGTTTGAATGATTATTGGTTGATAAAAATTGGTTTGAGGCAATTCTGACCTTGTTGGGGATTGTTTGGTCATGATCCTAATATCTGTTAGCATTCGTTGAATTTATTTAATTGATGAGAATTTTCTAAAGATAAAAAATGACTTTCTAAAATTTACAAGAGGAAATTAAATGTTTGAAATTTATTTTGTCAATTCTGTAAATTAATGTGACGCAAGATTAAAATTCCTGGGGAAAACTTGTCTCAGGGTTGGGAATGAAACAAGAATCAAAATTGGGATGACCGATGTGAGAAATTATTTTGTTACCATTATTCTCTTGTGAATTATGTAATTACATACTTTTCCCAAAACTTAATGCTTAGATTATAAATTCTTAGTAGTGAATCATTATGAAAAGGATTATGTTGCTTACATTTTCTTAAAGAAAAATTATAGGGTTGTAATATTTATATATATATATATATATATATATATATCTACACTTTTCAAACAATATTAGGTATAAACATACACTTACCTTTACAAAAATTTATAGGTTTCTACACTACTTTGACTCTAATACCTTAGTAAAATTTTTATGAAGTATAGAAAACATTTTTCCTATGCAAATAAGTGTTTAAAGCACATTTTCCAACGAGTCCGCAACACTTCTTTATAAATTTCACTATTTCAACCCATTAAATGAATGGTTGATGGATATTCTTACTACCTTCGGTAAAGTCTAGGTTCTACACTTGAAATATTCATTTTCTTTGGAGGTTTCTTATATTTTTTGTGCCACTTTTACCCCAAAAATCATTATTTCTTCATAATATCATTATTTCCATGTACCACTATATTTTCCCCACACTTTCAAGTGTAGTTTGCGTCATGTTCAACAAAACATATTTAAAACAACCGTCCAACATCACAAATGACTCTAGTATAGGTGGTGACCCCTCTTGAAACATGTAAAATCATTAAAACATTCAAAACAACAAGATCCTAATTCTTCTTAACAAAACAGTCAGATACACTAAAAGAGAAGGGGAGAAAACATCCATAAAATAGCTCCAGCATCACATATATTCATATTTAACAGCCACCCATAAGGAGCCCCAAGGTAGGAACCCCATTTCATACAAGGAAAGTCATCCAATCATAAAAACAAAACTTCCCCTTGTACCATGTTTCTAGATGCACAAAAGTGGAAGGGAAAAAGGAGAACTTGATGGATGGATGTTCCCTCAAAGTGGCATCCAAGGTCCAGCTCCAAGAGTCCTCTTGGTGCTCCAGCAAAAGTTCTTCAAGAAAAGTGTGATTATGGAGTTTTTCAAGTGTTTTCTCACCATGACTTCCTCTAACCAAAAATGGGTTAGAGAAAGAAGAGAGATAGGAGAAGGAGATGAAGTGGAGTGAACAAAGTAGTGGTAAGTCATGGTTTTGGCAAGAGAGGAAGGCTAAAACTTTTTTGTAAAGTTGAAATGCATGAGAGGGTGTTCCAGGGCCATTGAAGAGAAGAAAACTTTTTCACCTTTCCACTTTTGGAGGAGTGTGGACAAGGCAACAAGGGTGAGAAAAGCTAAAATTCAAATTCCAAAGTGCATTTTGGAAAGTTCCATATAAAGACAAGGTGGGAGAGGGAGGGAGATAAGTGTTTTCTGTACTTGTGTTGAAAATGGCAAAGATTCAAGAGCTAGAATTAATCATTGTAATTTAAATCAATGGTTAGGGTTAGCCTATGAAGCCTAGATACTTAGTACAATACGGATAGGTACAATACGGATTCGGGGATATGGAAAAAATTTGAAATTAAAGATACAATACGGCTTTGATACGTTAACATGATTTTAAAGAAATAACATACTTTATACATATGCAAAATATTTATAGAGAGATATAATAATTCATTTATATTAATGTGTTATATTTGGATATCAATGGTCACATTTTACAAAAAAAATACATGTGATCATATCTTTCCTTTGTCTAAATAAATAAGTCAAAATATTTCTTCTACTATAAACACATAAAAAAATTACATACTTTACCCCCTATTCAAGTTAGAATTCCACAAAAGAATTTGTATCCAAAAGAAATATAGAACTATCACTAAAAGAAGGTCCTGTCTTTATACTATTTAATTCTATCTAAGCCACATTGGATGATTATAAGCCATATCAGGTCAGAAATTAATTTTTAAAAATAAATTAAATTATAGATGTTTTTGAAATAAGTATCTGGAAGTATTGGACACGTATGGTATCGTATATGTGTCCAACACAGATACGTTGACTGTTTTGAAGTATATGGGCTTCATATGAGTTAGCTAGGTGGGAAAAGTTAGCTTTTAGGAAGTTGTGAAAATCAAGGGCTAAGATTGTGTCCTTGAAAGCAAGATCAATGGTCTATATTCAAGGTGGAACCTTGGAACAAATGAAAAGATGGTTGTCATAAAAAGTGACTTATTGTCATTTCATGACAACAGGTTACAACGGTCATCCCTCTCTCTTTCCTAGCCCTTAGACAAGCTTTTCTGCAATATAATATTATTAAATATCTTTGGGGCTCGTTCATAGATAAAATTTTCCCTGAGAATTTTATCTAACAATATAATCTTGTGTCTCATTAATTTACAAAAGTGCAAAATAAATTCCGGAAATTTAATTTTCTCTTGAAAATAATTTTAGAAAGTCATTTTTGATCTTTGGAAAATTTCTCATAAGTTAAATAAATGAATGGACACTGACAAACTTTAGGACTTTACATGGCAGATACCAGGACCATCATCAAATAGTCTCAAATAATGTTATTCAAACAATAATCATTCAAACTACTTATACAACCAGTGTAATCAAACTATTACTTTCCTTGTTTAGTGTATACACTTAGTTGCTACTGAGTTTACACTGATCGAGTCCCACATATAAGTCTGTAGAATAGAGGGTATTACATTGTGCATTTAAATAATTGAGCTCAACTTAAAGCTTGAACTTGTTTATTTAACAATTCAAACAAGCTTGATTGAGTGTTTAATGAGCTGAATTCAAATAATATATGGATAGCTCGTTGAACTCAGATAATGGTTGGTTGATGCCTTGTGATTTGGTGGTTATGGGTTCTAGTTGTAGAATTAGCCTTCCAGCTCATGGGATAAGGCTGCCTACAGCTGATCCTCATTTAGATCTGACAATGATGGCAGCCTCATGCACTGAACTACCCTTTTTCTATTCCCTGGTGTGAGAATGTTAATTGACATAAGCACTCATTCATATTAAGTACACTATACCTTATCAATTTCAGGCATTTATTATTGCTTCAACTGCAACTGAAGATGAAATGCTGAAGTGGTATGTCGGCTTCAATTCTTTGTATATATTTATGGTCTGTCTCCCATGTTTTAACCACTATGGAAAAAATTGTCTTTGCTTTTTGTTTCAGGTATAACGAGCATGTTGTATGGGGTGATAAAGACGTGAAGTTGAAACTTTTGAGGAAGGGAATATTGACTCGCATCTATACTCCCATGGTAATGATAAGAAATATAGGGATAGTGTTAGGGAAGAGAAAGAAGATCAATAGTTGGAAACTGAATATTATTGATAGGATGTAATGTGATACAATATCCTAACCTAATAACCCTATTTATTCTAAAGTCAAAAGCTAATGATATTAGACAAGTTCAAGCCTGCCAATAATAAAACTAACAACCCTAATATTTTAATAGCATGAATTGTTATGCATTCAAAAAGTGAATCATATATAAGGAAAGGAAATAATATGAAAATTGTATGGGAAGAAAGAAGATACCCACAATGCATGAAGAGAAAGTTGGCCAGAAGTTGTCGCAATGGATTGCGTTGGGGCAGAATATTTGGACAGATTGAATTCTACTGTCTTTAGTGTCATTGCCAAACATACTAAAATGTGTCACTTTTGATGGAGAAATGACTTGTTTCAAGATCTAGTGAGAAATTTTACTTTCTAGATGATATAAATGATTATTTCTACTGCTTTATGTATCATTTTATGAGAAATGCTAGCAATATACTCTTTGAACATGCTTTCAATACACTTTGTAATTGGTTCATTTTTTAAAAGGTCAAAGTACTTGTCGTAAATTGATCACCTTTAAAATGTAGCTTTCACATTTTAAAAGATGAACCAATCATATAGTGTGTTCAAATGAGTGTTGTTGACATTCCTCTTATTTATTCTTTTGCATGTAATTTGTTTTTTTGGCCTCAAAACTATTTCCTTTTATGTACTGGTTTTTAGGTCATAATACAGAGTTTAAGAGAATCTGGAGTCTTCAGTTCTGTCATTGCATCTGCCCCAACACTTTCCAAAGAAAATTTTTTGCTGTCAATTGATAGTAGTAACTCATCAAGAGCTGTTGCCTCTGTATACCTCCCTTCTAGAAAGGCCGGAAGAGCCAAGGAATCTAAAGCAACTGCAAGGAAGGTTTTGGACATTGAATCTGCGGCATTTCATGAAGTGGCTGTACCACCACTTTCTCCCCCAGTAGTAGATGATAATGAACTCATTTTACACTCTTGATCATTCTCAGGGTCATCCTCCAATCAAGTGTCTCTGTTGTCCTGTGATATGCATTATTGGAAGAATCTACAGGTGAAGAAAGAACAATTTGGCTTCTCTCCCTGCATGTCTGAGCTTTGAATATAGTTTGGTGATTGATTGCTGTCCAAATGCCAGATATTATTCGTGGTCAGTGGCTTGATTTGGAGGTGGATGGTCCCAGATTTTTCCCATTTGAATATCTTGTTTTGACCATTTTTTTTGTATAGATAACCTAAGTGCCACTAGTGTGAGTTCTTTTTAATGCCTTTTCCACGTTCAGGTACTAAAATTGTGAGTAGGATAGTAGTATGTTATTTCACCTGTGCCAATTATTCTTTCTATCATACTTATACATTTTGTGCTACACAATGATTGCTAAGCTTGGGGTTCTCAGCTATAACGATGAGATTCTATTGATGAATATTTATCGACTTAGCTTGACTTGGTGAATATTTGTCTTCCTGAAGATTGAATTTTAAGGTTTAATTCTTCGTCATACTTACACAAGGACAATACTTGGTTATTAGTTCAAAATTGTAAAGTGAATAACTTGCATAAAACGAAAGCAAATTTTGAAAATAGTAAAACTTGGCAAGGAATTGTTAAACTTTATCATAAGGTTTCATATAGTGTCAGGAAGTTAAATTAGTTTTGTCTAATTATATAGGTAGCATTCTCCTTAATCATTCTATAAAGTAGTTCAAAGGGAGGGTTACTAGCTTAACCGTTGTTTAATTCATCTCTAGAACTGAATGATCATAATAACCTTTCGTAAAGCCACCCAGAATCAAATGCATATATGCTTTCTATCCAAATATATGTTTGTTAGATTTTATTAAATTTCTTTAGGGGAGTGAAGATAGGAATTTTTTTATACACGCCAAAACTAAACTTCCTATTTTATAAAAATCATACAGAATTGTATATATTCTCAAAAATGGTGAATTTTTACAAAAATATACTATAAACATAGACCAAACTTTTTACAAAATTATGTAGTTCAACTGGGCCGAATTTAGGAAAAACAATCAATTCACGTTTTGTCAATAGCCTAAGGCTAAAATAGCTTTTGCAACGGGGAGTTCTCAAGAGTTTCTAAAATTTTAACAAACATATTCTTAACTATCCTTTCAACCCTTAATTTGATGGACTTATATTTAGCAAAATGCAAGTACACTAATCGTTTTAACGAGTATAGTTAAAGATTATTCTCATAAGGATTATTCTCTAAGTTCAACAATTTGTATAGAAAGTAGCAATAATACAGTGTAAAAGCATGTTTTTTATTTATCTCAATAAATTTATTAATCAAAAATTTTAAAATATAAGAAAAAGATAGTGGATAGAAGTAACAACAAAAAAACTCATAACAAAAGATAATTGATAAATTTTAGAGAATAACATTAGCAAACATCAATTAAAATTTACAATGTTTTATTTTGAAATATGTATAATACAAAAAATTGAAATTTATCATCAATAGAGAATGGTTTGAAACATGATTTCATTCGAAATCTTCGTTCATGTAGAAAACACAAATTCTAACTTAATTTTCATGATATTATACATGATCTAACACTTTATAATAATAAAATTCAATGTCAAGTATTTTACACTAATTCTTAACAAAAATAAAAAATAAAAAATCATAATGTCTTGGTAGATCTAATCAAGAACAACATTTAAGGGTAAGAATTAATAATAATCACACTAAAATTTAACTTTGATGTCTAAGTAATCAGAAATTAGAGAAGTTTGACTTCAAATATGAAGATTAAACTAAAGTGTTCATTGTCGCAAAATATTTTAAAATCATGCAAATGAATGACATATTCAATGCAACATAACTTCATAAGTAAAAGTTACACAATTAACATGAAAAACTGAATTAGATTCACATTCAATGCAATATAAGTTCATAAGTAAAAGTTACATAGTTGACATGAAAAACTAAATTAGATTCACAATAACAAGCTTACATGAGTTCAAATTTGAATTCCATCCTATCTTACCTTAAGAATTCATCAAAACATGATAAAGAAAAGTAAAAACAAGAGAAAGAAAGATGTAATCTATGGTGGAATCTTCCTTTGAAGCTTCAACTTTTGTCTCAGAGATCCTCTAACTTTAACTTCAAATAGAAAATAAGAGTGAAAGTAAAGGAGAAAATAAAACTAGAAGGAAATTCTACAATTTTAACTAAACCATAAAATATGAGAAATGAGCAAAAGATCCCAACTTCTTTAGCAAATCAACTATTTATAGAATTTCGTAGAATATTGGTGTTCCGTCTCTAACATTCTAAAATATTCTAAAAAAATATAAGAACAATTAGATGTTAAGACATTAATGCTTAAATTCCTTACATGCAGACTTTCTACTTCTATTGAGAATTAAGAGGTTAAGGAATGGAAGTTCCAACTTGCGAAACATTTAAGATGTCCGAGCTCATGCAAGTTTTTGCCTCGTAGAGTCTTTGAAAGTTAGGACATGGCATAACCAATATCCTAGCTTGTGATGTAGACAATTCTAGGAGAAAGAATAACTCGAAGAATTGGAAGAATTAGGAACCCCAATGAGAGAATGGAATATGAAAATCTTATTGAATTAGAGAGGAAATTACATAATTTTACAATAGATAAAAAATGAATCAAAATTTTGGAATGTAGCAACTATTTATACCTAGCAACTGTAACATCCCATATTTATTTAAATAATTTCTTCTTCATAAATATAAAATATCATCGTTTATTTGATTGAGTAAAATAAGTAGATAAAAGATCTCTTTGCATGTAATATTTGAATTACTAAAATTGAGTAAAATCTTAGTACTTCATACATACACATTTAATTATTTATAATCTACCATTTTAAATGAAAACTAAAATGCTATATTAGCAATTAATTACTAAATATTACACATATAGTTTTTTGTTTAAATCATTCTTTACAGTAAATTTATCAAAGTGCTTCAATTCCAAATTAAAAACTTTCATCAATATAATTACATATGGTAAATAACTTTGAATAGAACTTATTCAACAATGTCTTTACAATTCTTTCTTAAATAAATTAAACTCTATAGAGTCATTTCCTTCCTACCATTCCCTACGAGTATGACCCTAGAACGGATCAACCTTCTTTACCTGAAAAATAATTGTAAGGGTGAGCATCCTTTGCCCACTAAAATTCTTACTTCATAAGATAATGAAATCAATACAGAAAGTATTTTCAAAGTCACATATAATAGATTATGAACATTTCATTTCTAACAAATTGATTTATCATTTGATTAATTTGTATCTATTTCTCCTTATTTATTACAGTCATTTGATTCTTTAATTCATTTCACTTTTATCATATTGATTCCAAAATATTTATCTATTTATATTTAAAGAGCATGCATTCCTACTTCTTTTAGTTCACACATGTAACCTAACTTCTTTTGTTTTTTGAAGGTAGTTAATTCATTCACATTAATTTCACTTAAAACTTAACTTCTCAATTAAACATATAATAATAGAACAAGAAGGCCTATCACGTTACACTTAACCAAATATCATTATTCAATCCATAACTTTGTGTCACTTTATCCATTTCAAATCCAAATATTCCATCAATTCAACGGTACTCTAGGTACTCTCAAGCTTGTAAATCACTGCAAACGTACTCCTCCTGGTTACAAAGGACTTACGTAGCATAGATAGTTGATGGTAAGCTAAACCACACCCAGATACAACGTGCACATTTACGGCCTTCCAAGCAAAGGTATAAGAGTTCGGTTAAGAAATGAGTGTGAGGCCTGTAAATGCTTCCCACTTTTACGTCGTGTACACATCAGTGAACTGCATTTACCACTCTCATATCCTCTAGATTTTCACAATCAACTCTAGACCCTATACCCCTAGTGTATCCCTAAACTATTCATACTATATCTCAATTCGTGACACATCACTTTATACTATTGTAATACATATGTTGCAACCACATTAATTGATATATTACAACATGTGTTATAATCTCACCTGTTGATGTATTACAATACATATATCATAATTGCACTAATCGGTGTATTTGTAACACACGTACTAGTATCCCTATTTCTTTCCTCCACACATATTCATCACTATTTATATCACAGTTTCCCAATTAATTCTAATTCATATATTTATGATAAATACATTTATCCTTCCCAGTACCAACTAAACTTCATTAAATTCATACAATCATCATATTCCATTATTTCATCACATCACCACAAACAGTAACACATTTACAAGGCAGTAGTATATTACCACACAATATGTCAAAGGTCGAATACCCTCGAATTCAGCCCAAATCATGCAATTCATATATAATTTACCAGAGATTACATTCTCTCGGTCTTAATAAAATCTTCTAACCTAAGGTTCAGCATTCTCTAATTTTTATAACTCAACATGTATTTATCTCAACAAACTTATTTACAAAACTTTCTAATCTTACTATAGCTCATGACTTTTACTAAGAATTTAACTCTAAGTGATTTCTATTAAATCCAAAATCCTTCTTTATACCAAAACTCCACCTTTTACCATACAGTTTCATAAAAATTTTATAGATTATTACTAAATAGATTACTTGATACTCATGGGGTCACTACCTATAGAAATAAAACTAGGGCTAGGAAACACTCCCTTTACCTAGAAATGGATCCCAAAACAAAGTTCTTCGTAACTCTATGTCTCAGCCGAAAACACTTCCCAATAACTGGAGTTCTTTCTAATGTCGCAGAACAGGTTACTATTAGAAGGAGAAAGAACAGAGAAATAGGAACTAGATTTGAAGGTTGGGCTCCAAAAACTTACTTAGATCCGATAAGAACAAACGTTTGAGCTCAGATCTGAGGGAGATCCAGAGTTATTGGAGGTTTTCTCTGGGAAAGGGGAAAGAGAATGAAGAGGATGGAGAGCGAAAGGTGATTTGGTTGAAAATGAAGTTTTTAGGGCAAAAGTTCTTTAAATATCTTTCAAACTCGTGACTTTCTCATTACAGCGCAAAAAATCATAAATTTTCTTTCTTTGCTATTTGTCATTCTAGATATAGTGAGAGCTCCTCATTGCAGCGAGAGCATCAGAGAGTTTGATTCTGGATGCTCATTTCTCGCTACATACCGAGAAATTCTATAGTTTACATCAATTAAACACTCCTAATTTTAAATATCCTGCACAAATAGCTAACATAAATTGCAATAGTAATAAATTACAAAATGAGGGTATTAAAAAGCATTATCGCGTTATAAAAAAAAATGCAAGCAAGAACCACAAGTAAAACAAAAAAAAAAAGTTGAAATTTAAACAATCGCGTAAAATAACTTAATTTACAAGAATTAAATTAAGGTAAAAGAAATCAAGAGAGGGTACACTAACTAACAATCAGGTGATCTATGTAAGCAGACCGAATGTGAGGATGTTACAATACTCAAGGAAACCTTAACCCTTAA